TGGCACCAATATCACACACGATAGCAATTAGGGAATTGCAACAAGCAATGGAAGAGATGAGACGAGTCTTATTGGCACAAACTACACCAACCGCACCATTGGCTCCTGTAGGACAAGATGCACCGACAATGCCACCTGTCGCAACTCAAACGCTCTAGGTGTATCAATCATTGAGCAGTTTCGCCGATATCGCCCTCCTAGTTTCGACGGTGGCAATGACCCTCTGGCAGCAGAAGAATGGCTTCGCACAATTGAGAAGATCTTTCGACACATATCTTGTCAGAAAATCAGAAGGTGCTATGTGTAGAATTCATGCTGGTTGGAGGAGCCAGCTATTGGTGGGAATCCGCATCACGTATACGGACAAAGAAAGAACAACGTAACATGACATGGACCCAATTCAAAACGCAGTTGACTGAGAAATATTTTCCACAAGCCTTCCGCGACCATAGGGAAACAGAATTTTTACAACTAATACGGAGAGAGAGGGACGTCACCGAATATGAAAGGAAGTTTGAGGAATTATCCCGTTATGCCCCGCATCTTGTGAGTACGGAACTTATGAAATCAAAGCGATTTGAGAAGGCACTGCGCCCCTCAGAGGCAGATAGTGAGTTCCCATGAACTTACCACTTATCAAGAAGTTGTAAAGAAGGCTCAAACTGTATCATTTTCAAGTTATAAACTTCGAAGCCAAGGACTGCTAAACGATACTGGGAAAAGGAAGTGGCACGATCAGGGCAAGGATACGATCTCTGGACAATTCAAGAAGCAGAATAACGGGCATACTAGTGGACAATCAAACAATCTTTTTCCTCCGTGCCCTAAGTGCAAGAAGTCTCATAGGGGTGAATGTTTGTTTGGCAAGAATATGTTACAAATGTGGCCAGTCAGGTCACTATGCTTCTGGATGTCTGGCAATGCTAAATAAGGATGCTGAACAAGCGAAGAAAGAAAAGGCGAGAATTTTTGTCATAATACATGATGAGGCCGTCCAAGACCCAGACGTAATTACAGGTATTTTATCTGTTTATAACATTCCTGTTTACGTTCTTATTGATTCCGATGCAACGTATTCGTTTATATCTACGACCTGCCTAGCCAAGATCAATGTTCCATGTGAGAAAACTAGTAGTATGCTAGAAGTTAGTATGCCATCAGGAGGAGTCATTGATACGAATAAGATTGTTAAGGCAATACAAATAGATTTCGATGGGCTTATACTTGAGGCAGATTTACATGTCATAGAATTAAAGGATTTTGACATTATTTTGGGTATGGATTGGTTAAGTAGCAATAAAGTTACAATTGTTTGTTTTCAGAAGGAGGTGATCTTCAAGAGACCTGGAGAGAGAGTTTAGATTTTATGGTTCAAAGATTAAGGCACTCCCCCGTCTCATATCGGCCATGAAAGCGGAACGGTTATTGAGGAAGAAAACTTGTCAAGGGTACCTTGTTAGTCTTGCTAGTATACCATAAGAAGAATTAACAATTGATAAAGTGCTTGTTGTACAAGAATACGCTGACATATTTCCTAATGACCTACCAAGTGCCCCAATTGAGATGCCTTTTATGATTATTATAGTCATTGCACGGGTTCTTAGAGGTTTCATGCATATAATTAAGGCTTATTTCGACTCACATAGAGATATGATAAATCGACTTAGTTAAATAAAATCAACTTTAACTCGAGAGAGGTAAATTAATTAAGAAGAATTCGATCGAACACCACAATAGTTATGAATTTTGATAAGAGAATTAAAGGTGATCACCAGACGAAATTATAAGTCCTAACATCCACATTCATACTTTAAAACTTGAGTTTGATTAATTGTGTGCCTCGGATAAATTTAGATTAATTAGATAATTGAAATATGTTATAGTCTCAATGCCCTCCAACATATTAAATCAAATATAAATCCTACAATTTAACTTGTTTTCACTTTTCATCCCTTTAATTACCTAGCCATCCAATGAAATGTCAAAGTGATGCAAGTCTCATTTCCTCTTGCATTCGAATCTTAAAGTGCATGCTTTGTTAAGACCATTAACTCTTTTAAGTGACCTAGTGTAATGACGTGAGCATTTGTGTCAAAACCATTTTATCATACATACTGTTTGATTTGAAAGAGTCTGAACCCATCTTAGATTTCTTATAAAGCAAAGGTATTGGGTTCGAATTCTAGGAAACGCGACCTAAATTCGTGAGAGATAAGATGGGTATAGACTCTCCCAAAGCGCACAATACGTATGATATAATGATCTGGACATAGATACTCGAATTCTTAAAAAAATGCACATTTTTTTAACAAAACGCGCGTGTTTCTTATAACGACATGAGCCTCTATGCCCAAGCCGTTTATCATATATACTGTCAGCTTTAGGAGAGCTTAAACACATCTTACCCCTCGCGATTTTTTGTTGCAACCCTCAAGATTCGAACCCAAAATCTCTGCTTTATGAGAGGCTTGAATTGAATCCTAATACCAATTGAACAAGGGTGAATTCAGTATTTATTGAGCAAGTGGATTCACCATCAGTTCACATTCTTTCTCATTCTGGCTGCTTGTCTAACAGGCCAACGAAAAATTCCCAATAACAGTCATTTGTTGAGCAGGAGGTCGAATCACAATCATTCAACATTCATTCTCAATTTGGCTTCTCGTTTAACGAGCCAATGAAAATTCACAGTAATAGTCCTTAAGCACATGTTTAGTGGTCATCAATTTTTCGAGAAACTAAAAACTTTGCCCATCAATAAACATGTGTGGCTATGTTAGTTTGACAATATGTTTTTCATTTTCTTTTTCATTTTTGTCTGCAATAATTAGTTTGCAAGACGACATAACTAAATTGTACTTGTGCAGATAGCGAGTAAATGCATTTGGTAGAGAAAATAAGATTCGAAGGGAACAAAATAAAGAAAGCAAAAAGAATCTCTAGAATTAATGGTCAATCGAGAACCTGTTAAGCGTATTCTGTTCCAGACTCAATTGAACGACTTCATCCCAATATCTGTCATCGTCCCCATTATTGGCTACTTCATTTTTGCTTCAAATTGTAATCCATCAATCTCCTCGTACCAGTTTTTTGCTTTGCTTTCCTGTTCTTGCCATCCATCAGTCTCCTTGATAACAACACTCTATTGTATGACCCCATTATGCACTCCTGCTTCGCGCCTTGTCCAAATTGAAAGCCCATAACAGCATTATGGGAAATCTACAGTGCAATACTATGTAATCCACCTGCAATCTTCGGAACTACGATAAATTATTGTCACCATTTATGGCAAACTGATTGTAAAGAAGATGAAACCAAATAACTGGTGAATAAATTGGCTTCTATTCGCGACTAAATCACCATCACCATCACCATTCAAATAATTGACCCAATGATCAATCAAATAGTGGACAGATGCCAGTGATAGGGAGAGAGCTTTGATGTATTGATGTGGAGTACGATTTATGAGTATCGGCCCCCTTTGTACAATGAAACACTGTTTGGTAAAAATATTCAGTTGTCTCGACTTATTAAACCTTTAAAGAACATGCAAGAAATAAAATTAGCTGACAATATTTATGCAAAACTAGAAAGTCTGAAGCACCTCACACTTTTTTAAGGTAGGTAGTTTAGATTTTTCTCATTGGCATTACAATCTACATACTTTTGCATTACTTTTCTTATAGCATAATTCAACTCAAGAAGCACGATAAACACAATGATTATCATCTTTGGAACCAAGTCCAAAGGCAGACCTTCGAATTTAAATAGAAAGAAAATGTGTAAAGAAAAGTTACAAAAGGCAACTGACCATCAGGGCTAAAAGAAAAAGTTTAAGCAAGGCAAGGAAGTAACTAATATAGTGACATATCAATGCAAAGTTGAATACAAAAAGTTATCTTCGTCATAACATTAAGCATTAACTCCCAAAAGTACCTAGATGGAAAGTAATCAGAGATGAAATTGAATTAAAACAGGAAAAACAAAAGGGGGAACCGGTGAAAACGATGACAAGAAACAAGAATCAAATATGTCATTTCCCCTGTATCATTTAAATGGTCATGAATGTCATCACGGTTTGAAATACATGAATTAAAAATATCTTAATTTTGCTTCAGCGTGGACCTACCTTTTCATTGTCTTCTCTTTCTAAATGGTGCAGTGTGAAACATTGGCATTTAATCATAATACTAAACTCTTCATATATCAGCAGCTTCTGCCACAAAATGGTAATGAATAATCCCAAAGGTTCATATGTCTCATCCGTGGTTCCCATGCAACAGAAACTCCATTATCCAACAATCATATCTGGTGGCCAAGATCCATTGATTTCATTTATGCTATGAATCAAAAAAGAAAACAGATCGTTGAAAAGAGCAGGATTTTTGACAGCATAAAGAATAAAAGGAAAAATGAAAATATAATGTTCCGTGGAATCTAGAGAAAGCGGAGTACATAAAATTGTCCCTGCCAGCATAGAAGGCTGTTTCTGACTTTCTGTGACTTGAGACCATGATACTTGGGTTGCAGATGTTGAGCAATTGCCCAAGGCTTCCCATTTAAAGTACACATTACATCATTAATATATAAGGATCCCCGTATCTATAATCAAGCTCAAAAGCATTGTTACAAGTAGGTTGTTGCCAAGTATTCTTGAGCGTGCAGATTTAACATTAACACAAGGAGTGTGCTTCTCTCTTAGATGTACAAAATAGACCAATTTATCATTTCAACTGCAAGAATCCCATGAATGGAAACAAACATGTTACTTCATCAGGATGCGCATCCATTTTCATCACTAGATCCCCTGCAGTGCCCGACCCAATGAAATCAGACTGAAGTCCAGGCATTCAAATAATTATGAGACAGCAACTGACATTCTAGGCCCTGGTAAAAGGCTGAGGATGAGAAAAAATCAGAGTAGCCTCTTCAAACTTTTTTCCTTAATAAGCGATTCAGATGGCTGATTAAATAAGTAAGCAATTTTTTTACCCAACCAATCATCTCCCGAAACGGTGTCGAAATTGTTTGCTTAAGCTCCCAACAAGTGAAGTATATGAAGCATAGTCAAGAACAAGACCTTTTGCGCTACGCAGCTTATCAACATCCTCTCGGTTTCCATATGTACAGTGCCCTTCCAGTAGGATGTTATATGTAATGTCATCAGGAAAAATTCCTAGATTCAGCATTGCATTTAGGAGCATATCCGCATTTTTCATCTGTCCTTGTTTGCAATAACCATTCATAAGCACGTTATAAGTGACAACTCCTGGTTTATGTCCATCACTCTGCATCTCCTTAAGCAACTTGAAACCTTTTCTCACATCACCTTTCCTACAAAGCCCATCTATGATCATTGTATATGTTGCATCATTAGGGCTCAAACCAACAGTCACCATTTCTCTCAACATTCTTTCTGCATCAACCACTTGCCCTTCCCGACATAAACCAGAAATAATGGCTGTGTAAGCCACATTATCAAGCGCAATACTTTCCTTAATCATTTCTTCCCTAATCTCAAACGCCTTTTCCAAATTTCCCTCCTTACAATATCCATCAATAAGAGTAGTGTATGTTATTTTGTCAGGCTTCAAACCCTTCCGAGTCATCTGATCAACAAGGTCCCATGCTTCCGTCAAATCATCGTTCTTGCAAAGCCCATCGATAAGCGTATTATACGTGATCAAGTCGGGTTCCAAGCCTTGTCCCAACATTTGCTGATAAATTTCCATGGCCACATCAATCCTCCCATTCTTGCAATGCCCATTAATCAATGTAGTGAAAGTAACATCATTCGGAACCAATCCTTTGCCAAACATTTCGTTGAACAACTCATTTGCATCATCCATTCTGTTTTCCCTACACAACCCATTAATCAAGATACTGTAAGTATAAACATCAGGAAGAACGCCACTCCCCTCCATTGCATTGTTCAGCCTGAACCCCTCATCCAAATCACCCAACCTCACGTATCCATTCATCAAAGTATTGAAACTAACAACACTGGGCCTCAAACCCCATTTCCTGATTTCATCAAAAATCGACTGCGCTACCCTCATTTCCCCTTCTTTGCAAAATTTGTGCATCAAAATATTGAAAAAATACAAACTTGCAGGATATCCACATTCCAAAATCTCCTTATGAAATTCCCAAGCCAACTTGAAAGACTTCAATTTCATTAAATGTTCAAGAATATTTTTACAAGCATCAAATGCAACCCGGATTTTATGCTTTTTAGACAACCTAAAACATTGAATAGCATCGGATACAAAATCTGATTCTAGATAAGCACTGATAAGGCCATCGAAAACATAAAGATCAGATCTTTGGGTACCTTTGGTTGCAAGAATTGTTGCAAAAACAACAGAAGCTGACTCTTTCCCCTTTCTTGAAACGATAGTTTGGAGCAAACTCTTGGCTTCCGGGAGCATTTCGTGGGTGCAAAGAAAGTGAATCATGGTGCAGTAAGAGTGGAGGTTGTGGCGGAAAGTGGAGTGACTGCGAGAAGAAAGCCATGAGAAGAAATAAAAGAGAGAGTTGGGAGAAAGTGAGTGCGGGTTTAGGCTGATTAGGGTGATGATATGTTGGGGTTTAAGAGAAGGGAGGAGGTGTTTAAGTGAGGCCTGGAGCGGTTTTGTTGAGCAGTTTTTTATTGATTCAGACAGCGTAGTGAGGATGGGGTCTGGGTCTTGGATTTGGGGGCGGGTCCGGAGGCGGGATGGTGGCGTATTATAGCTGGCGGTTGTGGAAAGGATGCGGTGAAATTGAAGAGGGAAGATTTGGGCTGAAGTTCTTGAAATGCCCATACGCCCTGCGAAAAATTTCCTCAAGTTTCGTCTGTATCCACTCAGAAATTTGAAGTGTTCCACTACCAGGCTGCTTCTTCAGAGACAGATAAAAATTACTAAAATAAATTAACGATAAAAAAAAAAAACATAAATATTCTTTTCGGTAATTAGTTCAAAACGTTCCTATCTTTGACGAATTTTGTGCAAAATGTCCCTACGTTTCGTTTCTTGGCGCAAAATGTTCATACCTTTCACATTTTTTGCGCAAAAAGTCATTTTCCCCAATTTTTGACAATTTTACCATTCTATTAAAATAAAACAAAAGGAAAAAAAAAAAAGAAAAATACATAATAAATTGAAATCTTACTCCTAGACTTTTCTAAAAATGTAAATAAGTCCAAAACTTATAAAAATATTAAAAAGAACAAAAAAAAAAACTCTTCATTTCCTCGCCGCCGGTTATGGACCCAATTTCCACCTTATTCCGGCCACCAATAACGCCGAATATCACTACCAACTTAATCTCCTCAACATCTTCTACAATTTCCACCCAAGAACTCCCCATTTCATCCCCTTATACTCATACATGTCCTCAATACTCAATATATATTATAGACATCTCTTGAAAAGTCATTAGATGCCAACATATCACAATATTTTGAATCAATAAGAACTTTTTGTACTTTATTGTATTTAGTTAGTTTGGTTTTCATTATTTTGAGTTTCATTTATAATTATAATGCTATGCAGGACTATTTTAGCTTGTCTCAATTGATAGATAATTATTGGATAGATTTGTGATTTTTATGAGCAAATTTATAGGAAAGAATGTAGTCCGTGCATTGTTAAACATACTGTCTGTTACGTTTGTTAATCAATCGTCTGTTTACATAGGGTCTTTAGTCGATTAAATAACCATCTAATTTTGAAGCATACTTAGCTAACTTTTTTTTTTTTAATTTTACATTTAAAATGAAGATATGAATACAAACTCTTTGCAGTTTGTTACTTTGGTCAATTTCTAAGGAATGAACATAGTTTATGGACATGAAATTGAACCGACTGTAATAGAGAAGGTGTTTTTGCACTTTATGTATTGAGGAATGCATCATATACGGATGCGCATTGTAATGTATAAAACTTTCTTAGTGTTGATCCCTCTGAATACGAGATGAAGCTCGAATTTTTTTTTTTCAGTAATACACATTTCTCAATTCTACCAAGAAAGATTACATCTGACTTGCAAGTGAGGTGGTTGATTCAACTCAACCAAAAACGTCATTCTTGTATTTGTGTAACTCTTGTGAGGAATGGTATCTCTAAGAACATGAAACAAGTGATGAAGTAGACAATGATGTGGATGATTTTTGGTACAAAATGAAGATAGCTCGAGAGGATGGCATAGTTACTTCGAAGACAATTGCTACACATCAGGATCTCATTGTGTAATAGAATACTCAAAGCAAATATAAAAAAATAATAAGTGCATTAAATACAAGACACACTATAATCCTGATTATAACTAGGATACTCAACTTGGGACTTAGATTTTTTATGAGGGTTATTAACTTAGTTGAAACTTAAAGTTGAGACATTTAGATATAGGGAAAATCTCACAAATTGAATTAATGACTTTTATTGGTTAAATTCTACCAAACTTGATAGGAAAATGAATGGTTGTTGAGAATTCAACCATTAGCATAAATACCTCTGGTGTGAGAATGGAAAACAAGTTTACGAGTGTGCATCTTTAAAAAGAGAGAAAATATTTGACCTTTGCGGGTCGAAAAATAACCAAATTTAGAGTTTATAATGATTGAACTGACTATGTACATACACATATATTGATCTGGATATGTGGAAGAATTGATTTTCATAGCATATCTCGGAAGCTTTTTATGAATGGTTAAACATGAGGCAAAATGACAAGCTTTCGAACTAAGTTAGTTTTATGTTATTTGTATGTATTAAGTAGCTAATTTTGTTTGAAATGGACAAATATTCAAGTTTTGGGTAATTGATGAGTGTGATTTTTACATTTGTTCTGGCCTTTGAAAGTGAATATTTGGAAGTCAATTTGATAGATTTATTACTTAATTTAATTAAATATCGATTGCTGTAGGATACGATGTTGGAAGGAATGATTAAAAAAAAGTGAAAATCGGCCAAAAATAAAGAAAAATAATTATAAAACATTCAGGGACTAAATCACAAATCTTTGAAACTTGATTCGGACCAAGGATGGACAATTGAAGATAATAGGGATTAAATTGGAAAAAAATTTGAATTGCCCAACTTTTAGTCTTGTCCGGATAATAAAAACTCAAGGACCGGAAATGATTACACCAAGAATAAAGTTAATTGTACAACATTTGTTGACAACTAGTTTGACAATTCATATGCTATTAAGATCTCGACCATTGACTTCAAAATTATTTTTTTAAATGAATGGATGTAATGTTTGATAAGTCGCATGTTGTAAATGAAGTTGTAAATGAGATTGTATAAGTAACATGACTCATGTCTTGCACCAAAATTGTGAGATGCACCCTAGTCACTTTGGGTAGTAGGAATGACAAAATGCTCTCATTCACGTGGGAAACTTAGGACGGGAAACTTGGTCATCGCGTCGAATCTCCATAATCTAATTCTGTATTTTATTTGTTTTCAAGTTCAAAGTGTATCTAAAAGATATAAATTAATATTAAGAAAAAAAAAGTAAATATGTGGTAAATGATGACATTTTAATTCCTGTTACACCCCATCTCCAAAAAATCTATGGGTGACAAAGAATGGGAAGGCCCCTCATGTCACCTTGTCTAAGAGCATCTCCGATCCTAATATGAATTGTTTTAAAATGTTGCTACATAAGTTAAAATTGACAATGTCTACAAAAGTTTATCTCCAATTTCTTATTTTTCCTTTCATGGTTATTATTTTTTCTTTCTCATAAAATAAATATGCATTAGAGATGAAATTTGAATTATAGACGAAATTATTGTGGATGATATTTATATTAAATCGTCTGTTTATTATACATCAATATCTAGTAAATTAAAAGTTTGCAGTAGAAATACTTTAAGGTGTCGGAAAAATAGAAAGGCCAAATGGTCCTGTATGCAACCACAAAAAGAAAGGGATAGAAAATTGTAAATCTACTTGCCTCCATTTGGCATGTGGTGACGACCCCCTATTTTAATGGGCAAACAAAAATTAAATTAGTCAAATTTAAAGTGCAATTCAGTCCATTCAAAATGTAGATACAAAAGAAGTTTTAATAATTTTATGAACAACCATTCTTAACAATTTCCCTATAATTAGTTCTTCGTGGGTGTCATTTCTGTTACGAGATAGAATACAAGAAAGATTACAAATTTGCCGTAGATATTGAATTGAGCCACAATTAATCATCCGCTTCTCATGTTCCGTGAATGGTCGGAACATTGAGATATATTCATGAAGACATTTTGGGAATTGGTCTGATTCTATCTATGTTCCATCCGTTTGAAGAAGAATTATTCCATTATTCCTTACTAACAATAGTGGAATCAATGGTGACGAGTCAAAAAGGGATTTTGACCGAACATTATTAGGAAACCAACACAATAAATGATTCCTTTATGAATCGTGAAAGATCAAACACAAGCAGAATATGTAGTAACATCTCAAGGAACCATAAACATTGCAGTAGAAGGATGCACAATTAGATAAGATATTCATTTCCCTACACAGAAAATCGACCCTTTCATGCATGTTATTAGATAGACTTCGATCATAAGACGAGAACAATTATCTCAACCTTTGCAGCCTGAAATATAAATGACAAAAACCCTACTGAAAGAATCAAACGTTTAGTCCTTAAATGCATTTCTCTCAATGCTTCATGAGGATGGTGGTTTCTGCAATCATTGAAGTAACAACATAAGGGTCCATATTTGAAGCAGGCCTCCTATCCTCAAAGTATCCTTTTCCTGCTTTCTCCGTCTCTCGACCTACACGGACCGATGCTCCACGGTTTGCGACCCCCTGTTGGAATACGTTCGAAAAACTGAATCAACTTATCAAAGTAAAAGATATTGCTTCCATATTACCAGAAAGAACTATGCAAGAATGATAATGAAGTACAACCATTAACTTGTTTACATATGATCTCTTAGAGAAATTTTCAGTAACTTGTAAAGAGAGTTTATATTTACCCATTTGAAGGTGTTTATATCAGCAGTTTCGTGTTTTCCAGTGAGACGACGCTCATTGCCTGAACCATATGCAGAAATATGCTCTTTGTGTCTAAGTCCAAGCTTTTCAATTGCCTTCTCTATAACTTCGAAGCCTCCATCATCTCTCATAGACTTGGTGCTAAAAGAACATTATTTGGAAGCAGAAGAAAGATATTTACCTTTGCACACTCGAATAGAAGCTGTAATTTTATCATCTATTGAACATTACCTGTAGTTGGTGTGAGCACCAGCTCCGTTCCAGTCTCCCTAGTAATAAACCGGACAAAAAAGAATCATAAACCGAGTCAATATTCTCTCTATGCTTTCTTAGCCAAATGCACGATCCTAAGATTCTCACCTGGACAGGTTTGGGGTCAAATGATAATACGACCCCAGCAATCTCAGTGATCCTCTGTAAATCAATTCATTATCGAACATTTCAACACAATTTCCGAGTCCATTAGTGTGTGAAACATTTAACGGCTAAAAACATTAATGATTACAAGAAGTTATGTTAAGAGCACCTCAAGGATGTATCGAGCTACCCACACCTCATCACCAGCTGAGATGCCAACAGCAGGTCCTACTTGAAATTCCCACTGAATAGATGTTCATATTGAAAACTTATGAAGATGAAAATAAAATAAATCGCCAGTCGAGAGGAGATGCTAAAGACGGGTAAACTATACCTGGCCAGGCATCACTTCACCGTTGATGCCACTTATGTTGATTCCGGCATAGAGACATGCCTTGTAATGTGAATCTACGATATCACGTCCAAAAGCTTTGTCAGCTCCAACTCCACAGTAATATGGGCCCTAGATGCAACACAAGAATTGATTATCATTTGATGAGCCAAAACTCTCGATTGAACTAAATAAAACATTCCACAATCACAATTGTTAATGATGGAAACGAATCACTGGGAGACTTGAGGAAGAAATAAACAAAACAAAAGCAAGATAATTACTTGAGGTCCAGGATAACCTCCAGTGGGCCATCCCATAGGCCAGTTAACATCCTTTTGCAACAAGGTGTATTCTTGCTCAATACCGTACCTGTTATTATTGTAGTTTTAAAAATTGGGGATTGTAGAAATGGATTAAACTAAATGAGGAGTCGCAAATGGCACATAATGATGATACCATGGTTCTTCGGCAACAACATCAGGATGGTTGAATATTTTGGCTGCGCTGTGCCTTTTGTTAGTTGGAATTGGCTCACCAGCTGGGGTGTAAGCATCACACATGACCTACGAGACAAAAACAAAAGGCAATCTCGTATTATAAGATAATCCACATGACAACATTATTAAACGCAAAATATTTATTAGTTATAAGGAAAAAAACAACTCACCAATATGTTGTTTCCCCTCCTGAATGGATCTCTGAAAATTGCCTGAGGACTGTCTCATCGAATTGCATCATGAAATGCGTTAATTCGAATGCATATATATTTCATCATGTAAAATATCTTCAATAGAAAACGGCTTACTATAGAATGACTTCGCTGTCTTCTCCAGGCGCTTGGCCTGTGCTCGACCCATCATAGTTCCACTTGGGAAGCATTGCAGGGTCTTTAACAGGTCCAGTAAGTGTCTATCAAAACCAAAGATACTGTGTGAGGAATCTATAAACTCATTATGAAACATTAATTATTACTTTCTTAAGAAAAAAATCTGAAACAAGAAGGGTTAATTACCCTCGCTTTGCTTCTGAGGTCCATACCAGAGCCACCGATCCTGTTTAATGTATGGTTTAGCACAAGTAATTAGTCATCGATGTACAAAGACGACCAAAGGAAATGACAACGGAGAATAGGAAGAAACAGTTTCTTCCACACGATAAGAATCAACTACACTGAACTAACATTAATGTAGCGTAATCAGTGCCATAATATATAAATAATTCACTACTTCTGCAATCACTAATCTTAATTTAGGGATTTTTTTTTTTTTTTTTGCGCTTACTAGAAAATTGACTAAACTGGCCAGCTCGGTTCAAGACCGGTGTAGTTTGACAGGTTCTTGGATTTTTGCTTACTCCTAGTTTAACTGCTTCCCATGCTTACTGTTTAGCGTCTATGCCTCAGAATAAATCCTATAAACATCACGTAGACGGAAAAAAAATGTACATTCACAAAGAAAGATAACAACGAAAACGCACAATCAATCTCCATTAATAATGATTACTGTAGAATGATCATAGAGAATGATTAATACAAAAGATCAGATATCTCTGTTCTCAAAAACTCCAAAATAAAATGTGATATTCTTCTGTTCATGGGGTTGATAGAAAAAGGACGTAAAATATTAAAAAAAAGGCATAAACATCAAAATATCTGCGGATAAATATACACTAATGTACAAAACTGTAAAAGAAAAAAAGGATCAAAACAGGTATAATAAGAAGCAGGTTATCAGTCCACAGTAACTAAATGCAGAGCACGTAACGAAGAAGAAACAAATCAAAACGAAGAACCAAAGAATTTGACGATAAAACATTCAAAACCCACAAAAAATACATCAACGGATAGGTAAAACAAAGTCCCATAATTTTTTTTGGGGGGGAAAAAGGGAAACGCGGAGAATCCAATTTTATCAAGAAACAGAGCAGCCCCATTGACGCAATCAAAGAAAACTCACCATATGTACTCAGCAATAATCTTCTCAGTAGTGTCAGAGAGATTGAGATTAATGAGATCTGAAAGCAGTGACATTTTGCAGGATTTCAACTGATTATTCTCTCTTTGTAATCTCAACCGGTAGAGACTGGCTTTTTATAAGGAGAGATGGAGAGTGGACGAGAGAAAAATTCTGCTATTTTTACGTTGATTTGTAACTAAATAATAACAATGCAAAAATAATTTTGAAGCTACTTTTATTGAATAATACAACAATAATTATTTGTAATAAACATAAAATCGATTTTAATTTTTTTTTAAATCACGACTGTGTTAATTTTACTTTATTGTATCGAAGAAATTAAATAAGGAATTAAATAAAATCGGCGAACATATAGGATTCTCATCTTACTCAGGTAGATCACACTTTTACCAGGTAATTATATATAGAGTTAGGGTAAGTGGTAACCTCTTAATTTTATAGTGATTATTTTTTTTTTCAGTAAAAACATATTGCAAATAAATTATCCCATGTATTTTAAAATTGTGGCATTTAAATAATTAACTACCATTCACGATGTAGTGAAAAAGAAGACCATTCCCTTTGTTCTTCAATAGGTCTAGGTAATGAAGAAAAAACCTATTTGACATTGTTGACAATGAAACTTACCAAAGAGATTCATTTCTCAACAAACTTTGGTTTGTCCACAAATACAGCAAGTCATTCTCTAGATCTATTTGAATTACTCTTTGAAGTTTTTAATCGGTTTTGTGTCACGATTTTGATGTCCCAAATTCATTAGGATTTGGTATACCAAACAAAACAAAATGAG